TGGTATTGGCTGTTACAAATAAAATAGGTGTACATTAGTGTGCATTAGTGTATTCCAGTCAACCACAGAGCTTTAGCCAATGAAGATGTCTTACAGTTAGGACAATATATGTATTCTCAGAGCTCTTGAGAACTTTGTTGATACACAAACATGTGTATAATGGACTTGTGCAGTCAAATCACCCAAAATTTTGAAATTCATCCATACTGTTTCTGCCACTAAAGGTTCAGAGGCTGAATTCTCCTGACAGGATCTGTAGCAAGAAGGTTTCCTCTTGAAGGAGGAAAAGTACTCTCAGTGCAAAGTACTTACAACTTCTGATTCGGTGATGGTTGCAATCAGAGTTCTGGTGTGTGTGGAATTGGTTGGACCAATTGGTTGGACCTATCAGATGGATAGACTGTTTCAAAGAAAAGGTGAGGTGTCATTTACCTAAGTAGAATTTGTTGTTTTATAGACAGGCAATCTTTATCAGATCTATTAAGCCTGGCGCTGCACAGTGTAACAGACTGGGTGTTATAGTAGTGTTCCAGGCTCCCATTTTGCATTCCTGAGCTACACAATTTTAAATGTCCCCCAAAAGTCTTACTGAAATGCCTCCAGAAAATCAGAACCTTTCTTAATCTAGAATGAGAATGTGAAAAATTGCACTCGGTGTTTCCTGTGGAGCCCCGTCTGGACTAGCATGCCAGTCCTGTTGGCTCAGGACAGTTGAATGGTTTCCTGACTTGCCCTCATAAAAGAATCCTTACTTGGATAATCCCTTCCTTTCTTGGCTTGCATTTTCATTTGGCTTCTATTTGATTTTCATGTGATATTTCTTGGTTTTGTGTCTGTGATGGGTTGACCCTGGCAGAACACCAGGTGCCCACCATAGATGCTCTATCTCTCCTCGGAAATGGTAGTTACAGTTGGTTCATTACAAGTTATCTCTGCCACTCCTTCTTCCTCAGTGGGAAGAATCTTCACACTCTTGTCTTGCTCCAGTGTGAGGTCCTCCTGGGGCAGACAGTCCTCCATGAACTTTTCCAAAGTGAGTCCTTCCCAGGCTCTGCAGTTTGTCATGACTGGTCCAGCGTGGGTCCCTTCCATGGAGGGCAGTCCTTCAAAAACAGGCTGCTCCACACTCTGGCATGGGAACCTCCATGGGCTGCAGGTGCATGTTTGTCAGACACAGGGGAAGTTTCTGGCAGCTTCTCACAGCAGCCACCCCTCCCCTGTGTCATTCAAATGTAGTCAGTGCTCCCAAACTAAAAGGCAGTAGTTTTGTGTTTCTTGCTGTTGTTTTAAAAAAGATAAGGTGGAATCATTTTGGGAAGTAGCAAGTGCTTTGCATTCGTTTATAATTTTGTTAGTCAGATTGCCATTATCACATTACCCTTTTACTGGGGATATATACCATAACTGAAATGACTGTGGAATGTTTTCTTAACACAAACTGAACATTGTATTTTATTTACTATGTTTTACAACAGAATTTGAGTTGTTAAGGCTTCCGACAGAATAAGGCTTGTTTGATATTTTTATTAGTGACCTTGTCACTAATCTTCAGATGATGTAGAGTTGTGAGATAGCTTCTGCACAGAGGAGAAATAAACTAATGTAGGAAGAACTGAGTTATCTTTGCAAGGCTGAATAGAGAAATATATAAGAGCCCTATGTATAAAACCAGTAATAGGACTTTTTGCTAGAATTTTTTTAACTGGACAACTCAACAAGGAGGGACACCTCAGTGCTTTAAATAAGGAGAATGAGCTATTGCCGTGATAGTATCTTGAGTAAAACAAGTGCAAGGAAAGGATAAATGAGGGGATGTGATGGTCAATGTACTGGTGAAACCACCCTGACAAGGAGAGTGCATTCTGCTCAGCTTTGATGAGGCATAGATGTGGGTGCTCCAGGAAGCATGCTTGTTTCAGCACCTTTCAAGAGCAAGGTTCTACTCAAGAACACAATTACAAACTAGTCTACAATGACATTGTGCAAGAGCAACTGGGTGTCTGTCATACATTGTCTGTGGGGCATGTTAGAAATGCCATTTCTGATTTCCATGATCTGAGTGATTGGAAGGTAGTTTCCAGAGAATTAGCAAACAATGTACCCACATTTTTGATGCTTGTTATGCTGTGTTATTTTTCAGTCTTACAATATTATTTATTCAGGCTTTATGTGTACATTTATGTGTATGTTATGAGAAAATTGTGTTTCTCTCTAAACTTAAGGTTTCTGAAGTATTGGAAGTTTTCTGTGTCAGTAACAGAAAAGCAAATGCCCAATAGGCTTTCACACAGATACAGATTTTGACCATTTGAAATAATATAGATAATTTTATTCTAGAATAGAGACTGTAATGGCAAATAAGTAGTGAATCCAATAGCAACAGGTCTGATTTGGTCATTTAGATGACAGTTGAACTGGGGAGGAAGATGAGGTGTTATGCAAATATATTGATAGAAACAAGTTCCTACAAAAGAAATGGAGATGACTGGAATGTGAGGAGCCTGACTGTTACCTGTCTGTCTTACCTGTGTCTGTAGATGATGGTGCACAAAAGAGAAATATACTGAGATGGTCATTGAAAACAGGTGACGGTGCAAGTGAGTAAGAACATAAAATGGTGCCTCTGTAAATTAATTGCACCTAATTTATTGTTTTGCTCTTTGGACTATTCTTTATGGTTGCATGTGGAGTGACTGAATTCGTGATTATTCTATTCTCCAGCAGCAGCACTTCTAAGCTACTTGTCTAATGTAGGTGGAGAACAGAAAGGAACTGAGACGTGTCTTGGTTCCAGTGCAGATCTACTTTGCAACCCCTGACCCAGCCTGTGGATTTTTGCTTCCCAGCACTGCTTGAGAGCTTTACAGTGGGTGACACACACTTGAGCAAAGCCAGGTTGTCCAAGGATCTGCATGTAGAAGATAAAACTCACCTCCTCTCATTAACTAGTGTCAGCTTCTCTATGGCACAGAGATGCTGTTTTGGGCAGTGACCATTGATGACTTCCATCTGCTTAGCTTTGCAAGCCTTCACGTGACATGCAGCACTCCACAAGGTATTACCAAGTCTCTAGTTAATGTACCCCTGTCCTGATTGTACTTTATCATTTCAATTTAGCAGTCTTGAAAATGGCTTTACTATTCCTGGGTCATTGACAACCCTACCATGAACGTATCTAATTTTTGCATCTGTGTGTACTTCTGCACTTCCCAAAAAGTGACTTGGGCTTCTCTATCAAACAGTAAAATTAGTGTTTATTTCAGGAAATACCACCTTCTTCTGGTGTTTCTTCTAGTCCTCTGCTTCTTTGGATTGCAGATGCAGAATAATAAATAAAAGGGATTGACATGCTTCCATGCAGGAAGGAAAACTGAAATTTAAGAGGGATTCTTTGATATATCAACTGTGAGATGGCAAATACATCAGACATGAACAGGCATAAAGCTGCGACAGTTTCAGATGAATTCAGGCCAACAGTATTGCCAGTGACAGATTTGTACTGCAATTAACAGGATTAGGGACCAGCCTTCTGGTCATTATGGGAATATTATCAAGAGATTTGATTTTTTAAAATTATTTTTTAGATTTCTTTTTTCAGCTTAAATTTCTTTGTTTCCTTAGGCAGAACAGTGAAGCACAACTGGTGTGGCAGACAGACACAGTGTCACTCTTGTCACTACTCAAGGTACTGCTAGTACCTTGCATAACACTTAACCTAATCTCTGTTACTGCTCTGTCACTTGGCTGGAGAGAACTGCTCTTGGATGAAGGAGGGAAGACATTGCTGCCTGCTTTCTCTCCCTTTGATTTCTGCTGTGAACTTTGGCAGGGTTCTCTGGGAAGGCTGGAGGGAAGGGGAGCCAGAGGCACAGTCAGTATGGTGCAGGGCAGTGCTTGGGAATGGTATCATCAGAGAGGCATAAAACATAGGATTTTTTATATATAACAGATGGTTGTTTCATCCTGTCTGTGTTTCGACCTGTGTACCATATCTGTCCTCAAGTCTTTGTCTTCTGGAAAACAGTCAGTTTCTTAATTAGAAGATATTCACATATTATATCTAAAGTATTATATGTTTCAGATCATATTTAGGTGCAACGTTGAAGGTCAGACTTCTTTAGAAACCTTTCCAGAAGGAAGTTCAGGAGATGTTAGTCTTCCTCTCAAGTGCAGAGAAAAAAGGCAGAGGCCAAGTGCTACTCCCAAAAGTCAGTAGAATGTTAAACCCTGAAGGATTTCCTGTTCCTGTACTTTGTTATCTGAATTTTGTTTTCTAATGCATAGTAAGTACTATTTGGTTGAAGAATATCTTTCAGAAAGACATCCAGACTTGCCTGAAGACACCAAGTGATGGAGAATTCACCGCTTCTCTTACTTAATGAATGGAGAGGAGTAGTTGATGAGAGACTAATTTATTCCCTGGTTCAGTTGTGCCTGGTGAAATTATTGCCTATGGTTGATGTGAAAAGGCACTGACTTTATTTCTGAAAGAGCAGCAATGTGGTAACTTGGTTTGCATTTTAACAGCCTCTTCTATAGAAGACTAGAGCTCCTAGTATATGGTAGTTGCTTTTCTGGAGATATAGAATAAATAAACCTTCATGGCTGGTAAGTTGCATCTAGAATGCTTTTATATCATCAAAGAAATAGGCAGACATTGGAGAATCTTGTTTTGAGCTTGAGCCTGGAAAAAGCTGTGACTCTAACCTGAGAATCCTTAGCTTCGTGGTATTCAGTTTGTATAGGTACTGCACCACATGGAGTGTGATGTATTTAGGTGTCTTCACTCTGGTATTCCAGCCACAGGTAAAAGGAGCTCTTGTTTGTCACTTTATATGCTATTAAATCTATTTTCATGAGTTTTTGGTATCTTTGTTCTTCAGGATCAAGCTATGGTTATATTTGTGAGTATTACTCGCATAGCGCTTGATTATAGTTTCCATTGCTTTTGTTTGAGTGTTTATTTTAAGAATGACAAGTGTTTTTTTGTAACTTTGCAGAATACCGATGCCAATTCAAATGTGAGGAAAAGAACGAATGCCACAGTACAGTCTGAAGCTGATGGTGGGAGCCGAATTGACACAAGGCACAGCTCCGTCCAGCCTCCCTCTGTAGCTCAGGGGTCTTCTGACATTACACCCCACTCCCTTTCTGCATCAAGTCCTAACCCTTTCACACGAATCAACGCATCAGAGACATTATCTTCTGCAAGAGCTACCCCTCCAGCTCCTCCTTCTACCCCAATTTTAACTGGATTTGTATCCCAGCATGCCACAGCTGGATCCCCTTCCATTCAGCACTTGCTTGGATCTAGACTGGAGCAGATTCAGACCACCACACCTAACACATTAGGAGCATCTGCAAAGCCATCTGCTGTCACACCACCTCCTCCCCCCGCCTCCCACTCTGGCACGAGTAAGATAGACAAATATGCACGCATTTTATTTCCTGTTACCTTCGGAGCATTTAACATGGTCTACTGGGTGGTGTATCTATCCAAGGATACCATGGAAAAATCGGAAAGTCTAATGTAGTTTTGCTGCTATGTAGTAGTTCCTAAATTATACTCACATTTGATGCAGAGTTTCTTCTTTTGAAACTATTTAAAAAGGTCAGTAATTCTTATTTATAAAAGCTGTGTGGTACTTTCCCATTCTAAAGGCTGGAGTTATTGGGGATAATTAGTTAACTCTTAACAGAGTAATGGGTAACAGTAATGGGTCCTCCTCCCTTCAGCCAGCAGTGAAACAACACGTGCTTGAGACAAACTACTCTGGCTGCACAGAACTTGCATTTGGGAGGAACATGCACCTGAAAAAAATCAGAGGCAGAGGTGCACAGCTGTGCAGTGGAACACATCTGACTGCTAGGAATATGCATGTTGGCTGTTACAAATGCCTGAGGCACCCAGCACTGCTGTCTGGACACAGCATTGCATTCTCTGAGTGTAAGGTCTATGTCCTGTATATTTTGACAGTGCTTGGTAGAAAAGGACTTTCCCTGAGAGATTAAAACTCACAGAATGGTGGGGGGAAGAAAGTCAATAGTGGCAAAAGGGAAGAGAGTCCAGCCTGGGAGAGTGCAACTCCAGGAAAGTTATGCAAAGGAGTTGTAGAGCTCCGTATATTTTTACTAAGCATTATTTTGCATTGTAACCTGGGAAATTCTCACACCAAACTAAGAATGAGTGAACCTTGTAAAATCTGAAACCTGATGTAATTCTTAAAATTGGATTTTCTCGTTTGGTAAGGTGATCTTAAGTGGGTGATTCTTCTTTGACCTTGCTGACCAGCTTAAGTGGATTTATTCCTAAATTACATCAATTGTAGTAGATGAAGACCAGACCACAATGTTCAACTTTTCCTTTAAATTCTTTGCTTTTTCTTTGGATGCTTTGGGGTTTGGGTTTTGGTTTGTTTTTGTTTTTGTTTTTTTCCCCATACTTTTCAGTTACACTCCTGATTTCCTTTAAGCACATATTCCATTCCCCCACCTCCTTATGTAATGTTTGTGTCAAGTTAAATTTTCAACAGTTTTAAAAGTGGCTTGAAAATTAAGCAAAAAAAGCCCCATTTCCTGTGCATAGATGAGTGTGGCATGTCACTGAGTGAATGAAAGACACCCTTTTTGAGAAGGACTGCTGTGATATAAATAAGAAAGTAAACTTTCTAGGTGGATCCCAGGCTAAAAATGTTAATTTACAAATCCATTTGTTTACTTTAAACTGTGGCATAGATAGGTGCTTTTCTTACCAAATTGCAGTATGCAAGCAGGCAACATTATTAAATAATTGAATAGTTAAGTCTGATAGAAGTCCTGATCATAAATGTTATTTTCACTAGAACAGGTAGAAAACAAATTGCCAATAAATAAAAGAAATGTTTGTATAGAAGCGTCTGGCTTGGCAAATGGTTAGCATTTCTGTGCAGGTGACAAGTGGGAATCAAAGGCCAAATTCTCAGCTATGATCTGGCTGTGTCTTTAAAGGGTCTGGACTAATCCTTAGCTTCAGCTGACTGAATAGGAGATTGGTAGCCTATTGTCAAAGTCTTATGCTGCAGGGCAGATCAGGTCAGTGGTTCTGTGCCCAGAGAATGATCCAGGGACTTATGGAGGCCACAAGCTGCTGGCAACAAAAGGGATACATAAGACTGTTCTAGACTCTGCTGGGACAAGAGTCAGGGTAAAAAGACCCCATAATGGTGAAACTATGACCGTGCCTCTGTCTCTCCAAGCCTTTTAGCCAGCTCATGGCTGAGAATCTGACCTGTAACTTGTGGGACCTGGGAGATACCTGGCAAGAGATACTGCAGTGTGTAGTATGGATTCCAGATGGTTCTTTCATGTGTAATAATGAACTGTAGATGATAGAATGCAGTGGGAATGTCTTACGTAACTTTATTATAATGGAGTGATATAATCAGTTGCCTTAGACTTTCTTTTACTTAAGTGATGCTCTCAAAAGGCCCAGGTATGGTTCTTTCCTTTTTCATCTTTTACATCTGGAAGATGGTTGAGACTACAGCACTCGTTAGAAAAACATTATGTGGCATATCACAGAACTGGAAATGGAGCACCCGTGCAAGATGTCTAACTGCAGTAGTTTGTATCTTTGGATGTACTGCTAGTTGCTGTAGCTGTTTCCTCTCTAATTAGGTCGCATTGTTACAAATTGTTAGAATAGGAGATGGTATGCAAGGGACTATTTATTTGGTTAACCCAGAATAAACAAAGCTAAACCTCTGGCAATTACTGATTATAATTACGCAAATGATAAAGTACTCCTAGCATGAAGAATGGCGACCTGCTGTGTGGAGAACCTAGTACTTGCACCAGAAGTTAATGAAATTACTCTTTGCTTTCCTCTGTGATGAAAACCAAGGATGTTCTCTCACAGGCAGAGCTTTAAACAATTCATCAGAAACAGTCGTCTGTTCTTTCCACCCATCCCTGTATACTGATTTTATAAGCAGCTTTATCTAGTGCATTGTTCAGTGGGATCAACACTAGTTCAGGCTAAGATTGATCTAAATGTGCTGCTTCAATTCACTTGTAGTTTCTGTTTAAAGATTTAAAAGGAGGAAAAAGGACTGCAAAAATAATAAATTAAAGATATTTATTCCTATGCTTCCATTTTGGGAGAAATTTTTAATGGTACCACAGAAAAAGTTACCTATTTTAAATATCCAGTGTATTTCTGAAGTATCTTCCAACACTTCCATGCCTAAATTCAAAATGAAGTACATTAAAAAAAAATCATTATGAGTCTAGGACTAATTTATTGAACTGTGCTACACTTTTATATTGCAGCATATGAAGAAATTACCATAATTACCTTTCCAAATTAGATGTGGCCAATATAAATAGGAAATTATTGTTAACAGTTGTTCTTCATTATTTTTAATCTTCCTGGATGAACACAAACAGTAAAAAAAAAAGTGCTTGCAATATACTCAGTGATACCATAACCTGAAAGCACAAAAGGAGGAATATACTTAATGTAGCAGCCCAAATGTTCAAAACTGCTAACTAAAATCCTGAGGGAGAACACTGCAGGTGTCATTTCAGTGACCAAACAGCTTATTAGAGATGAGGTTCAGTGAGATGAATTCTACAGGAGCTATATTTTTAGGTTTTTGTTCTTTTTTTCTATTGGCATTGTTGAACAATCTTTTTTTTGACAGTATCATAGTGGTTTAAAACTAAGCAAACACTTCAGATAAGTTCACATCTATCAACAGGAAAGGAAACTGGAGAGAAAGACAAAAATCTTTGCAAGGAAATACAGATAGTTCTCCACTGATATTTCCTCAGAGACATTGTTACAGGCAGCAAAACTCCCACAGATTGCTGAGATGCAGCCCTGACCACTAATGCAGGCACTTGAGGAAAACAGTTAAAAACTTGGCTCAGGAGGATTATCTTCACAGGAGCTGGTGTGGTTTGTAGTCAATTGTGAGCCCACTATTCGCAGGTTTCACTGCAATTGTGAAAATAATGAAGATGAGAAAAGTGGCAAACTTAGACCCCAGCCCTTCACGGTGACCTGAACTCTTGGAGCTCACCAGCAGTACTGGAATCTGTTTTTCCTCCTGTTAAAATGTACTTGTCTCCAAATGGATGTTGGTAGTGCATTTCTTCTCCCATGTGTCTTTGAAGGGGAAGAAAGATTTTAAACTGTTTAGTTATCCACTCTACATTACCCCTTGATCAGGCAAGTAAACAGGACAATAATTGAATGAAAGAGAAATAGTTTAATAAGGAATGTGATTAGAGCTCTTCTGTTAACAGGAGCTGAGAGTTATTGATTACAGGGCGTTCAAGTGTAGCCTTTCACATCTCATCATCTTCATCATTCAAAATGGACCTTACCAAAAAATGGGGAAACCAAGTAAATGTATTTAATGAACTCGGCTTTTTGATATGCCCAGAATTCCATCTTCTTCCACTGTACTGTGTACCTCCTGTGTGTCATTTGGCCTCTAATGTAGCTTGACACTCAAATGTAGCTCATTGTCTGTATGCCATGTGAGAATGACAGGGTATGCAGTATCTATTTATCCAATTTATCCAAAGCCTAACTTCCCCTGTTCCTTGTGCTGTTAGAAGTATAGGGAAGGCCAGAATGGGAGAAATGACACACAGGCTTTGTAAGGGACATGCATTGGCCATCTGGGTAATTTTTCCATAGATACTACAGATTTCTTAGCAGACCCTTTTTCAGTGTGCTATAGTAGCACATTATACATATAAATCCCAAGAGCTGCTGAGAGCTCTGTTTGGATAGCAGAGTAGATCATGGGCTTCTTATAACTTTTGCTTGACTTAGAAGATTAAAGAGGAAAGAAATTTTGGTGAGTTGTACCTTGTCTTCTTGGGACTTGCCAATAGGGCTTGACCTCACTAAAATAGAAAGGGTTTGTGTGGCTAGCACTGGTTATGAATTGCAATACAGACAGCTGACAAAAACTCACCCTTGTTTTTATTTAATTCTAGTATTGAAAAATAGATTAGAAAAAAAGCAGCTGGAGTGTTGAGAAGCCTGGGTTTAGTATAATGTCTGCTGATGATATCAATCAAGCCAAGTATGATCAAAGCTGTAGAAGTCTTACAGAACTTCAGGGCGATACAGCAGTAAGTTTGCAGCAGGTCAGTGCTAAGTGGGGAGGAAAGGAGGTGCTTCCCTTCCTACTCTGACAGGAGTAAAGCAATAAAGCATAAGCTTTATTGCTGCTCTGTTTATATGTGGAAGAACAAAATTGCATAAACAAATTTCATACTCAATAAAAATCTGAGGGGCAAATAGCATTATGGTGGTCAGTATTAACCACCAGATACCAACCCCAAAAAAACAGGGGAAAAAATCCAGGAAAAAAAGTTAAGTTAAATGACAGTAGCATATTTTTAAATTATTTAGATTTTTTTTCCAAGACCTTTTATTTTTTCACTGTGGGCTTCCACGGTGAGTTTACATTTTTTTAATAATCTCTACTGGTATCCACTAACACCAATATGTGTTTTTCATTTACTTCAGTGCACTTTAAATGGGAACTTTACTGGAAGGAAAAATGTGCCATTTTGAAGGAGTTTAATATGCGTTAATTTGATATGCGTTAATTTGTACAATCTTCATTTGTAGGCCTCTCCTCAAAGTCAGGATGTAGCTATTTTGGAGAATGTGAGTGTGGGGAGAGTTTCAGTGTGTTCTGAGTAAATCAGACTCTGAAAGTAAATTTTTGCCACATCCCAGGCAAGTGAGAGTAGTGTGAAGTACAGAGCACCCTGTAAAGATCTCTCTTTGTTGATGTTATATTCTGTGTTAACTGGAGGGAATGAAAAATGCAATTATTATAAAATTGATAGAATTTGCAAAACATCATTTGTTTTTGCATGAGTTAGAAATGTGGTAGGTATTTATTTCAGAATTGAATAGCATTGTCTTCTAGTCAATAACTTAATGCATCTAAAAGTACCGCTCAGACTTTCTTATGCTTTTTGTAGTATACCACTGGAAAGGATTTCAAAGAAAACCAGTTAATATCCATTGCAGTTCACTATATTTTTTTGGTCATAATTCTATTTTCATTTTCTTGTGCAAGAGGAATTGAGAGCATGATGGTTTTTTCCAAAATAAAAATAAGAGTGGCAAAACAAAAACCTTGGAGATTCCCTTTTTTAGAAAACCTTCCAAACTCCCATCAATTTTTCAATGTTTTTTAAAAAAAATTAGTGTAGCTTAAGCATTTAAAAATACTAATGCTGTTGCAGGCTGGGTACATATATACATATATCTCTTGAAATAATATAATTTCCCTGAATTTTAAGGAGGCAGACTCAAGATGCATTTGCTAATAGCTCTGTATTGAAAGAGTACCTTCTGAATGGAAAACACCATGTGAGGTAGGTATTTTTTTATCACTATCTTCATGTAACTATTTTCAAGAAAAAGA